TTTTTTTTTAGAGATATAGAAAGATGTTCCCTATGAATTGTTATCCTATATTTTATAAAATGAAGAAGGCTTTTGAAGTTTCATTTTGAGTTTGATATAAATTGAAGTCATATTGGGTTTGGAAATCCATAAAAGCGCCACTTGGAAAGGATATCCTTCTCGGGATTGATCCGATCATTTTTCGTTTTAACGAATTTAAATGTTTTAGACCGAAACATTCGTGAGTTTTATTGATTTAATTTGGTTTTAAAAATGGATCGGTCTACTTTTTCGTTCGTTTTATTTTTTCTTTTTTTTAACGGTCGAGTTAAAAATGAGAATTTCCGATTCAATTAAATTCAGAAATGATTTATAATCTCAAGGGAAATAGGGAAAAAAGAGAAGATGAGAGAACTGAAATTGAAATTTGAATTTTTGGGATGATACAATCTAAAGAGGAGATATGGTAGCGAACAATCCACCTTTTCTTTTACATAAGGAAAACTAAATTGCAAATTGGAAGACTAGCTGAAATTGGAAGAAATGAGAATTTAGATAACGATTGAGAGATTAGTGAACTTGCACTTAGATCCCTTAAGCTTTGAATTGATTTAAAATTCAATTCCTTTAATTAGGGTTGAAGCACAACTCACAACTCTTTACCAAAACTATGAGTTTACTCCTAGGTTTTAGGAATCTGATAGCAAGTTAAGTTGGATCTGTAGATGTTTGAAGGTTAGTGGAAAGACACTTAATTGAGATTAGACACCTTAGAACACTTCAAGTTTAAACTAAAGAACAGATATCCTAGATCTTAGGAGCACAACTTGAGAGATAGTTTATCATCCTAATTTTCAAATGACCTTAAGAAATCCAAACATCTAACCTCAGTTTAGGAGATAAGTAGGACACTAGGCATGATGTTGCACTAGATTGTGACTCATGACTGATTTAATTAAATCAAATAATGAAATTCTTACTTTAACTTGACCAAAACTGAAACCCAATGCTCCGGGATTTGAATTTGTACTACATTCAAATCCTCCTGACAATTGGGGACATTCCAATATCACATATAAATTTCTTATTTTTGGTCCTTTATATGTGATATTGTGTTTCATTTATTTGTTTATCTTTTTTCTATGATTTACCTGTTTCTGTTAAGTTTTTTTTTTTAGGTCATACTTTCCTCTTTTACACAGCGCATACTAGCTAAACTTAAAGGAGCAATGAACCTACCAGGTGTACAGGTTTAATTTATATTACAGCATTTTATTTTCGCAGCATGTTATATTGTTTTCATAGCTTTTTATACTATTTTTGTCAGCATGCTATACTGTCTTTTCTTTCTACTGTACACTATACTGTTCTTTTCTGTTATACTGCATGCTTAGTTACTGTGATATACTATGCCTTAGATTAGGATAATCTAGTTGTTAGGCGTATTTTCAAAACTAAAACTAAACCAGGAGTTGCTACTACGAGAGGCTCGGAGCAAACATCGTGGGCAGCACAGCAAGGGATAACTTCAAGACGAATTTGCAGCAACGAAATATTTTCATATCACATGAGCATTTTCACAACACTATACACTTTCTTTAGTTTAAAAAACCCATAGGATCATTACTTTGGGCTTTTTACACAACTCTGTTGTGTAATTATAAGTCCTAACACATTAGGATTCCGAGGTTACCGTTCGGTACAGTGTAAATCCTCCTGTCTTTTAGGCTATTTGCACAGTCCGACGTTGTGCAAACATAAGTCCTAAATCTTAAATAATTTGCAGGATTGAAATATCAAATAAACATCATTTCAAAGACATAAAGCCGAACATTAGGATAGTTGG